TGCTATCTAGACAAGGATGAAGCAGGTTTGGAAGTTAATCAAACTATGTATAGAGGTATGATAGGATCACTATTATACTTAACTGCAAGTAGACCTGATATTATGCATTCTGTCTGTGTGTGTGCTAGATTTCAGGCTTGTCCTAAAGAATCTCATCTAATTGCAGTAAAACATATTTTAAAATATTTGAAAGGAACTACTGATTTTGGTTTGTGGTATCCGTCTGATGCTTGTATGAGTTTAATAGGATATTCTGATGCTGATTATGGTGGCTGTAAAATTGATAGAAAAAGCACTAGTGGAATGTCATTTGTTAGGTTCATCCTTAATATCTTGGCATTCTAAGAAACAGGCATGTGTTGCTTTATCTACCACTGAAGCTGAATATATTGCAGTTGGTAGTTGTTGTGCTCAAATTCTGTGGATGAAACAACAGTTAGAAGATTATAATATCTTTTTAGATGACATACCCTTGATGTGTGATAATACGAGTGCAATTAACTTAACTAAGAATCCAGTAATGCACTCTAGGACTAAACATATATAAATAAGACATCACTTTTTAAGAGATCATATCAGCAAAGGAAACTGTAAAATAGAGTATGTAGATACCAAATGTCAATTAGCAGATATATTTACTAAGCCTCTACCCAAGGATAGATTCTATGATCTTAGAAGAGACTTAGGGATATTAGAAATAGTTTAAATTCTGCTTAATCTGACTGTTTTTGGATGATTATAATGTTATAATTCGTGGGTTTGGATGTTCATAGGTTATCATGTGTTAAAACACTCAAAACAGGGCATTCCTCTCTGGAATAATCGATTACTGGGAATTATAATCGATTATTTTCACTCAAAACATCCAAAACAGGGTATTTGCCTCTGGAATAATCGATTATTTCGCAAAATAATCGATTAAAACCAGCTGATAATATCGATTATCAGCTGAAAATAATCGATTAAATGTAACTGATACTGGTTTAATCGATTATTCTGAATTTTAATCGATTAAACCCGACCAGTTTTGCCTTCTAGCCGTTGCCAACGGATCTTTTGGCCTTTATTCTCTTCTATATGAACGTTGGACATGATTTTGCTATATATAGAGACCTCTAGTTCACTTCTACTCACTTCTAACTCTTGAAATCAAGCTTTCTTGCCTTATTATACTCTCTTTCACCTTATTCCATCACTTGTCCTTCTAGATTTTCTTGATATTCATCTACTATTTCAAATGGCCTCATCTTCTCGCTCTAAGATCCCAACTAGAAGAAGATCTGCACCCTCCTCTCATCCCCGTCCTAATTTTGTAGAAGGATGGATCTCTGATGCAGATGGCCAACAAGAATTTCTAACCTACTGGGAGGAAAAGGCTATTATTTCTCCCAAATTTCTTATAGGAGAGCAATTCATTCATAGGGGATTCAATTTTCCTAATCTTCTTGAAATTCAAGGAGTTCTCCCGTTTATCCAAATGCAAGGTACATACTATCCTGACTTAGTTAGGGTATTCTACTCTAGATTCAAATTTAGAGATCAAATTGCTACATCCCGTGTAAAAGGGGTTACAATAATTCTTGATGATGATATTTGGGAGAATGTTGCTCACTTTCCAATTAGAGAAGATGCTATTAACGTATATGGTGAGCTAGATGACTTTGACAGGTTCCTAGCTTATCGCTCTTTTCTGCGGAATCCCTCAATGGAAATTGGACGTATCCTTCATGCTGGACCTTTAAAGAAGGAAGAACGCATGCTTCTACATTTACTTGTATGGATCTTATGTCCCCGGGCTACGAATCATGCCCAATGCTCTTCCATTGATCTTCGAATTATTCATGCCATAATAAATAATGAACCTTTAGATTGGGGTGTTCTTGTCACAATGACCATGCTTAAAGCAAAACGTCATCCCACCTTCAAAATTCCATATGCCCTTCTTGTATCCCGTATTCTTGAATATAAAGGAGTGAATGTTGAAGGTGAGCAAGCAGTTAGAACAAACTTAAACCGCATGCTAGACAGCACATTGACTCAACTTCAAATGGTGCAAGTCAATGATATTTATGTTCACAAAGATGACGTTCCTAATCAAGGGGATGCTAATGATGATTCTGATGAAGATATGCCTCCAGCTACTGAGTTTCCCTCTGACCAAATCCAAGATGCTGGAACTTCCTCTACTCATCATGAACCAAGACAATCCATGGAAGATATGTTATCTGACATGAATCAGAAGATGCAATCATTCTTCAATCTTTCTGGTGTACGGCATGAAGAATTAATTCGCCGTATATTTGATGTAGATGAAAAAGTGTGCCGTTTAGAAAATAGATTTAATGCACACTTTAATGATGATGATAGTGAAGAATTTTAAATTTGTTGATTGTCTTCTTTTATGATGTACTGTATTGACTATTTTGAAATAAAATATGATGTTTCTTTAATGCTTTGATTGAGAGGGAGTTATCTCAAACTTATGCATATTTTGAGGGGGAGCTCTTATGATTACTATTGCAAAGTTATTTTTTATTATAATCAAAATAGGGGGAGAAATATTTAAAGCCTCTTATGAATTGCATTTAAATATTATCTGGTATGTTTAATGTGTTTGTTAGTATGACAGATAAAACAGGTTATTACAAGGCTTTAAAAGATAATTTTGATCATCATCAAAAAGGGGGAGATTGTTGAACATTCAAGGACTTGATGTTGCACTTGATGAACATGAAGATTGTTGATTTTGATGATGATTCAAGAACTCAAAGACTTAGAGTATTGAAGACGTGTTTTGTAGTGTAATAACTCTGTTTTAATTAGATTGAGTCTGTATTTTTAGAGTTTGAGATAGTCAGTACATAGTCTGTAACTTAGAAGCTTCAAAAAGCCCAAATATATCATCCAGGCTTCGGCTTTAATCGATTATATAGGGAAATAATCGTTTAAAACAAGTGAGAAAACCATTTTCAAGTATATACTCATCTGTTTTAATCGATTAAAACATCAAAATAATCGATTATTAGGTCAAATAATCGATTAAAACTTCAAATAATCGATTAAAACAGAGAGGTTTTGGGTTCTGTTTTTTTGGCTCTGTTTTAATCGATTATAACTCCATTTAATCGATTATTTCAGTCTGTTTTTCATTTTAAATTTCAAATTAACCCTACTTTCGAAAACTCAATTACCAAGAACCCTAGTTTCGAAATTCCCTTTTTCTAAACCCTAATTTCCCTACTTAAACTCTCCTTTGGCACTCAGAATAAAAGAACAACCTTTTCCATACAAAAGTTAAGTGCTGTGAATGTCAGAGAACTGTTTGTTGCAAGGAAAGGGGGCTTTCTGAACCTGGTGTGGGCTAGAAGCGATAAGAATCACTAAGTGGAGTTCTTAGTGGATTGTGTGCTGTGCCGTCTCTGGGGAAAGCTGTTCTTCATCTCTTGTGGGTTTCAAGAGAGGTGTTATCTTTATCTTTATCTTGTCAATTGTAATCTGTTGTAACAATTTGTTTATAGTGACAGCGTTAATCCTCTGTTTGAGTGATTAGCAACTGGACGTAGGGTCTTTTGATCCTAACCAGTATAAATCTCCTGTGTAAGATTCTCTATCCCTTTCTCTATTTACATTTACACAGATTTTAATCGGTAAAATTTGGGGAAAATTTTGAAAACCTAATTTTTATTAAGAAACCAATTCACCCCCTCTTGGTTTTTGTCCGACCACGCGACCATTCCGCTGCGCGATTCTAACAGTGTGTTCTTCCTTTTTTCTCATCTTGTCCATTTTATTTTTATTTTAAAATTGTGTTCTTGTTTTCCTTACCTTTGGCTGAGAGCTTCCACGCTTCTTGGACGAAGATCTTTGGTTCAAATCCTTCTTAAATTTGATATATCCTTCAAGTCCTAAGGAGGACCTCATCAAGTGGTACCAAGAGCTTTGACTTCAACTCACCAAGAGGTGTTGCATCATTAAAATGGGTTGTTCTTGTTCTTCCAAACCCATTTGAATGTGAGGTTTGTTTTATTTCAATTTTCTTAAATCTGAAACTTGTACTAGTGTTCCATCTTTGTCTTATTTTACTTGGCAATCCATTAATCAAGTTGTGTACCCATTTCTTATGCAACTTGGCTGAACCAGATACATTCCCTACGGGTATGTTTGATTGTTTGATTAATCTAGTTTGAATCTACCTTGTTTTGAGTCTTTGTCCTTTTTCTTATGTTATATTCTAGTTAAAATTGATTGGACAATCTTGTGTAGGAAAAAAGTAATCCTTCTCTCATCTATAGAGAAGTTGCTTTGGAAAGTTTTCCAAAGTGTGTTATTGAAATTGACTTGATGCTTACAAATATAAAATAAGTGTTGTCAGTTTTTACGTTGGAAACTCAATTTGAGTTTGAATTTAATAATGGGTTTTAAAAAAATTCACACTGGATCAAAAGGAATTAAAGTGGCCGAATCATGTGGTAGAAAACAAGACAAAGTTTGAAGAAAAAGAACAAAGTTTCAAATATCCTTTATCCATAAAATCTTGGACACAAATTCTAGTTGAAATTCTAGGACTTGGCTGAATTGGACCATTAAAAATTTGTGATTTTTTATTTTTTTTTTTTATAACTTGCTTACTTTGGTTAATTTTCTTGAGTAGTCTTGGAATGATTCTAGTGTTAATTCTATTAGTTTAGGTAACTCTTTCGAGTCTTTTTCAAGTTTTCCTTTGTTTTGTCTTGTGTTAGGTTGTCGACATCTTAATCTCTTTGGTTTAACCTTTTTCTTCCTTTTGGCCTTTTTAGTTTGTCTATAAAACTCCATAAAGTTTTGTCATATTTTAAAAATTTCCCTAGTGTTTTGTTAATTTGTTTCTCTTTCATTAAAAACATGCTTACATGATTTGGTACCTTATAAAGTTTAGCAATTTCTTTTGTACCTTTTTACCGGAAACGTGTGAACCTAACTTTTTTTCACAAAATTAGAGTAAAAACCTAAACAATTAAGTCTTAAACACTAAGAAGAGTGACAAGGTACTTGAACCTAAAACATAATTTGTATTAAGGTTCCAACATAAAACCAATTGGCAATATGTATAAGTCTAATAGGTATTAAACCATACCATATGGTGTGAGGCAGGCGATGTGGGACTTCCAACATACCCCCTCCAATGAAGTCTACCGGACCAGGTAAAGGATATTTTTGACCCATGACAAAAGGACAACTCATGACCCAAGACAACAATCAGAAAAAAGTTAGGCTTTAGCTTTGATACCATGTTAAGGTTCCAACATAAAACAAATTGACAATATATGAAGTAGCCTAATAGGTAGAAAACCATACCACATGGTGTGAGACAAACGATATGCGACAAACGATATGCGACTTCCAACAATTTGTGTGTTTCTTTTTTGTTTTCTTTGTTTTATAGTAATGTCTGGAGTTCTCTTCCTCTTCAACTAAGAGAAGCCAGCTTGATAATTAAGATGAACCATGTGCAACAAGAAATGGAAAAATACAAGAAGATGAATCAAGAATTGTAAGACAGGAATGAATGAAGAGAAGAGAGAATCTAAGAGAGAGAGAGAGAGAGAAACAGGAATAGACGGAGAAGCAAGAATAGAAAGAAAAAGAGAAGAATAAAGAGCGAGAAGAGCAAAAATTTCAAGAACTCCTTCCTTCTATGGGAGTGAAAGAAAATTTAAAGATTATGAAGAAATAGAACTCCAAAGAACAAGAGTAAGAAGCAGAAGAAACTTGCAACAAGAAAAATTCCATAAACATAATGTAAAAATTCCAAAATTTAATGGAGATTCCAATATGGAGTTGTATTTTGAGTGGGGGGGAAAAAGTGGAATAAGTCTTTTAAGCATTTGGTCTTAGCGAGTTGAACATGGTCAAGAGCCACCTCAGAGTTAGAGGTTATGCTTTGATATGGTGGAACCAAATTCCACGATGTAGTAAATAGAAAGAGATTGATAGTCACATGGTTTGCATTAAAAGCATGCTTACGAGAAAAGGTTTGTACCACCCTACTACAAAAAGGAATTAATCTTTCAATTTCAAAGGTGAAGGCAAGGAAGTAGAAATGCAGAAGTGTACTACAAGGAAATGGAAGTGTTGATCATCAAGTCTGAGATGAAAGAAGGCACCATGACAAGGTTCTTAAATGGCTTGTATCAGCACATTCAAGACATCAGAGCTCTTATGGCCATTTCAAGCTGCCAAAAAGTAATCCAAGAACCTACTTGTTTAGTTTAGGGACTCCAATTTAAAATTAGTTTGCAAATAGCTAAGGGACGTACAGAATAATTTAACCAAAAAACAATAACAACCTATAATCTAAGCAATTATACCAGAAGGAGTGATGTAATCCCAAATAAAGGTTATTTATGCCTAACAGACTCACCTCGGGGACCTCAATTTCAACTCCATCCACTTCAACGCGAATCTGCCAAGGTAAATCCACAAATGTCCTATCCATAATGCTCTTTGCGCCCTCTCTTGCATATAGAACTTTATTCATAAACTGCACGTTAGAATAACTTCAGCATTTTCCAGTACATAGGATCTATGTAAGCGTATTAAGATAACTGAAATAATGCAGTGGATAATACTAATATAAACCTCTAATACAAGTTTCTAGATAATAAAGTCAACTGATTACTCGTTCATGTAATTCTAGGAGAGAATACAACAAAATTGAATGGAAAGGTCATTTCATCACGTAGGAGGGTGTCAAACAGATCAAGAACACTGATAACGAGAAGGATAACTATTCTATCACTACTCCTAATTCTGCAACTAGTAAAATTTAACAATTTTTACTCTTCATTGATAATGAAAAAGGAATACAATATATTTATTACACACAAAATGCTCAAACAAATCCAAACAAACTCTATTCTAGAACCTACCTAAATGAGATATTATATGTTTTTATCTATAATTATTAAAAGACAAATTAAAGAATGTTACTTCTCTCCGTTAGGTCTCAGAGTAATAGATAATTTGTGACAAACATTACTTGACAAGCTCAACCCTCAGCCTGTTTGTAAGAGTTTCCTTATAGAGAAGAGGTGGGAAAACAGGTTTGCCTTTTTTTAGTGGTTTTTTCCTTAGCAAGATTGGGCCATCATCTATCAAGCTAAAGAACCATATTTAATTAGGGCTCAAAATTTAAAGCCCAAGTCACAAAGAGATAAGCAAGTGTCACAATGTCATACTACCACAATAATTAAGCTGATTTTAATCAGTACCAACCCAATGAACGTGTCAATAACTTCCTCCAAAATAGTATACAGCTTCAATAACAGTTCGTACTCTTAACTAGACATTCTCAGCCTTCTCTTTGTCCTCTTCTGAATGTTCATTTCACACACTACCCCCACAACAAGCCAAAAAAATTGTAACAATCATCCCAAACCACCCTCTTTTCATTTTTATCTCTATATTCTATATTCTTAATCGCTTTAGTGTTTCAGTCCACTATGTTTTATCTCTATCTCTATCTCTACAATGAATTTTAATAATATTTAAAAAAAATTGTGAATAGTTCAAAAATATATCACTATTTAAATTATTCACTATATATTAATAAATATTTATTGACTATAAATTTTAAATATTATATAATATAAACATTTATCATATGCAATGTATAAGCTAAAATATTATTTCTCAATATGCAATGTATACGCAATGTATGTTGCCTTTTCTACATTTAAAAGCATATATATTTCTCAATATTTTCACGGAGCAGCTAACAGAACAGAATTTCTTAATCCAATAGTAGTCAACTCAAAAATTAAGCCAAAACTAATATAACGTTATAAATTACAATTCACTGAAAGAAAGCAATCTTATACGGCACCACCATCCAACAAAACCAATAATAATAATTTTATACCACATGACTAGCCTCCTATTAAACACGCAACTAAAACTAGCCAATCAAGTCAGAATTCAGTTCCAATTAGACACCAAATACCTGGTTATAAAACTTATCTGGATTTTCTTCACGCAGATTATGAATGTCCAAAGCAACCTTTGCATCACAACCAATTCCTAAAACCAAATATTTGTTAGATTCAGAACTAGTCAAAATGATGCCGATAGATGTGTGTGCTTGGTAAAGCATAAATTCACAGAAATCATTCTCCTTTATTTTCTCAAAAACTGAAATTGCATAAAATATAACAATTATTTTCCTAAAACAAGCTAATTCATACACATGCTATCATAAATTGACAATTAGAAAATGGTGTAATCTAACAATGCAAGTGGTATACAACTAATGTCAGCCAAAAGCAGACAAAGAATAGCATTATAATAATTCATGTAAATTCATTAGTGAGGACAAATTCTGCACCTGAATTGGATACCAAACCAAATTCGTATATTGTTAAACCTTACTTCAAATAACCAACACAATATGAGTAGAATCAGACTTGACAGGACAAAATCAATATAGTTAAGCTATCAATTTGCTTCAACCAGATTCGAAGTCAAACCAGAATACCAGACCATTAAATCAAACTCCAAAATCCCAAAGACATTTTTCTCTCCATCTATAACCCACCCAACCGCCAATTCCCATGACAAAGAAAGTAACTCCCCCTATCAAAGATTAACAAGCTGACTGTCCAGATGCTTTAAAACTACAATTTACAAATTTTAATGTAATTACCAGTAACCATGAGAAATGTGAGTTCACATACCAAGATAATTGTTCATAAACTTTGTGGGTTGCAGTTGTTGCTTTCCTTGTGGATTACTAATTGTTACCTTCCACCTGTCAAGAACAGTAACAGCAGCATGTTCTATTTGATGCAAAAATATACTAAGGCCCCCCTGCCTCTCCACTGGACCCATGCCACCTCCCCAGGAGAGAACTCTAGCAAGATCATTTCCGGTACCAGCGGGAAGAATAGCAACTGGGGGAGGGGAAACAAAATTTTGCTTGTCTATTGCATTCAGAACCCAACCAACAGTACCATCTCCCCCACATACAAGAACTCTGAAGTGAGACACCTTTCTAAACAAATACAATCCCACTTCTGGTCCCTGTGTTGAGCTCAATTCAAACACCTAAACAAAACAAAGGTTTGGTAATCATGTTGTCAAAGAGTATCTCCAACAAGCAAGATAACTATAGTTGCAATTTAGGAGTCTTTCATGTATACCACTAGAAGGGGTAACTATTATAGTAATCTTGTAGAGTTTGGTCATTTTTTTATAAAGAGATGAGTGCTTGATGACTTGTAGCAGCTTGGTTAACTCAGCTAGCCCAAAGCAAAAACACTTGAAAAAGGATGCAAACAATGCAGGGAGCAAATGTTGAAGCAACAGTAAATACTCAATGATAACCAGATATTGTAAAAAACAGCAGAGTAACAAAACCTGAACAGGATTTAAAAGAATATTCAGACGTGTCCTAAGTGAGTCTCCACGCTGGGCACCACTCTTCTTGTTTATAAAAACCAACAATGGTCTTGCATCTGGAGGTAAATCAACCAAATCATATTTCTGCTTCACTCCTAATGTGTGGGATTCATCCCTCTGATTGATTGATGAATTGCGTCCAAGACTGGGTTTTCTATCAATATTATTATCTACTTCACTATCTTGATGTCGAACCTCCTTATTTGAGCTACTTTTTTCATCCACTTCATGATGACCATTCTGTACTTGATGAGAATTACCTGTGCTTTCTGTGGACATTTCACCAATGCTCTCACTATTCCCAGATTCAACTGACGGTTCATTTTCTTGCTTGTACTTTTTGCTCTGGTTCCTAATACTTGCCCGAACTGAAGACGCTATCTCATTTGCCCCATGAGTAATTGAGCTCAAAAATCCACCTGGCATGTTCCAGTTTAATTCCTTCACATACAGTGGTGATAGTATCAATCTTCTAAATTGACCCAAATCACAAATATCACCCGTTTCATTAGACATTGTACTATGACAATCAACATGTACTAAACGTTGGCACCACAAGCAAGACCATATAGGGGAACCACTGAGGAACGTTCCACCACATGGCTCTTCACAGTGACTACAGAGAGCAGTTTCGTCAGGTTGGTCAGTTACTTCTGTCCAACGAACAGCCCACTGGTGTGTGACATGCTCGTATCCAATCATTGAAACACACTTGCAGTCCTTGTGGGCACTAGAGGAACAGCATAGATGAGCCACAGCACCACAAATACAGCAACGGTGGATGAAACCTTCAGAGGCTACAATAGGCCCAAGCGTTTGAGAGGGTGATATGGATTTAAAACATACACAGCAGTTTAAATTCTTTGCACGAGATCCAGATTCTAACTCCCATGAATGAGGGGCCAAAGGAATTTTGTGCCTCGCCTTTGGGTTTTTTTTAGATCTAGCTATGGCTTTCATCCAACTTAGATTGATGTTTCTCCTCCATTGAAAGGCCGTGTAGGCTATGCTCAATATTCCAACAAGAGCGGCAACAAAACAAGATATAATGAAGAGCCGATCAGTTGGATTCTTTGCATTCCAACTGTAAAATAACAACCCAAAATCTATATCATCATCCATTCCTCGACTATATTGGTAGTATAATACTATAATTCGCTTGGTTGTGACAATCCAAGTTCACTGCAATAAATTCCTTAACTAAGATCATAAACCTCAGTGTGTATAAACAACATAAAGAAATCACACCCCATAAGTCTCATTCTTGGAACAAAATTTATACATAGGCAATTCCACGCTGTATAATACATGAACACTCATCCTCCTTCTCTCAAGAAGCATATTAAACAAGAAAGCCATTCCTCATCCCTATTTTTTCTCAAAAGCATCTTCTGCTAATCTCTGTTTGTTCACTTCCAAGCCCCGGCAAGGGTATGAACGACAAGCATACAGATACCTGCGTCCAAAAAAAATCTTGAAAATTAAAAAAGGGGCAGAAAAACAATTTTTCAACATCTTGTGGAAACTGTGTGTTATTGATCTTCATCAAATATTATAACTATAATAGAAAAAAGTAAAAAGGAAAAAAAAAAGTATATATCTATATGACATTTAAAACTGAAATGCTACATTTTAAAAAATACAGTTTACAGAGCAGCGAGAGCGCGAACCTCAAATTCTCAGAAACCTAACAGACTCGAAACTCATCCAATCAGCTATAACGTCAATTAAAAATTTAAAAATCGATAATTAATAATTGATCACAAAGTAGCTTACAGTGGCGGATTCGGCTGAGAAATCGAGGTAAACCTAACGGGTTAGATCAAACCCTAGTTGATAGAAGAAGAATGTTATAGTCGAAGATGAAGCGAGAAATTAAAAATGGAGAAAGATACAATCTAAGCAAGCAAGTCCCGAAACAGAGCGTACCTTTTTCTTAATAGGGAAGAAAATGAAAATATTATAGAAATTAAAAACTCAAAGAAAATTAACTCTGATTCTCTTTTTTTTTTTTTTTTTTTTTTACTGTTTGGGCGCTTCATATAAATTATAATATAACTTGTAAGAATGAAATTAATGTTTTTCTTTACTTATTTGATAACCTTATTGTTTGGGAGAAGATTCTGTGCTTTTGTGGGTGTGACCTGGAAGAATCTCCGCGTAGGAATTGGATTCCAACGCCACGTGTATTTCTCGACACTAGACAATTCTCTTCAGGTATACTTTCACATAATATAATAAAATTAAATTACTTGTAGCTTTTAGAAGTTTTTTATCATTTTTATTTAGGTTTTTAACTGAGTCTTCAAAATTATATTTTTATAATTAAAGCCTTTTTCTCTCATTTCATAGGAAAAATATATATATATATATGTATAACAGTTATATAATCTACTTAATATTTCATTAATGTCAGTTATAAAATAAAAAATCAATTACTAGAATGTATTATCTTTTATACATTATTATAGAGTTTATATATATATATATATATATATATATATATATATATATGTATGAAAAGTCTCGTTAAGGCACGTGTAAGAGAGTAATCGGAATATTAATGGGTTCCGTCGGCAGTGTGATGGGTTGCTGTCATTTCGAAAATGGAGAAGACGAACTTTTAACACGTCACCCAACTCTCTATTTTACACCTACAAGACGATAGAATGCTCCTCAATCATTGTTATCCTGTCTTCCTCATTCTTTTTTTTTTTTTTTTTTAACTCTTTTAAACTATATGTGTTTAGGAAATAATATTGATTTCTGATTAACAAAAAGTATTCAAAATTTATGAGATAGTTCCTTACTTTAAATTAAAGGTAAATCAATTTCACTTTCTGAATTCTGATTTATAAATTTCTTCAACTAACAGTACTCACAAATAAATAGTTAACTTTTATTACTTTGTAAATAATAATAAAAATTCATACCTTAATTAATTTTTAATAAAAAAATTTTAAATTTTAAATTTCATTCTAATTGTTTAAATTTTTTTAATTTATGAATATATATATATATATAAATAACTTTTTTAATTATTTCCGGGTTATAGTTTTAAACGTTCCACTAGCCTTTATTTTGTGTAGTTTCCTCTTGTCTTACTTTATTCTAAGCACCTTTGCCATCCACAATTGATTTGAAGCATTTAAAAAAGAATTGCTTTCCAGTCTTTATAAATATTATAATTTTAAAAACAGAGGGTTCAATACGGTGATTTTTTAGTCTTCCTATTTAAGTAAAAAAATGTATGATTTTTTAAGTATATTATAATTTTTAGCCTAATTTAATAGGTTAATATATTAATGTTGGTCTAATTAAAAAAATAATAATATATTTATCTAAAATAATTAATTAAAAATATTTAAAATAAATAAAATAAAAATATATTTTTAAAAAATTTAAGTTATATTATTAGTTTTTTATTTAAAATATTATTATTTAATATATAAATTATAAGCTAAATTATTTAAAAATAACATTTTATTATGATTTAAATTTTAATAATATAGTGATATAAAACAATCAATTATTTTAATTATTAAATCTTTAAATAAATAAAAGATAGAAACTTATTTTTATATTTATTAAGTTGATGTCTTATTAAATTAATATTATATTTTTTTTAATCAAATAATTTTTTTAAATAATATTTTATAAAATAGGCAATCATACACTTAACCTAAATCTATTTAAACTATAATGTATATAGATTAAGTCTACATTTCCAACTTATCCATTTGATTAAATTTATCTTCACACATTAAGGAATATTTATCATCGGTTATTTTAGAATTATGAATTTATTTATTGACACCTTAATTAATATTTATCACCTTTAGAGTTATTAACTTATTTATTGCTCAATTTCCTTCTGCACCTTTAAAATCTTTGTATTGACATATTTACTTAAAGAATAATTTTAAAATATTTGTTCTTTATATATGTTATTTTCATTTTTTATTTTAGAAGAAAATAAATAATAAATTTTGTTTGAATTTTTAAATTAACTTGACTATATATATATATATATATATATATATATATATATATATATATATAAATGTATAATATGGTCAATTTTATTCACCCAATCTTTTATTTTCTACTATCTATATACATAAAAACAAAAATTATTGTTCATCCTTATTCTTTATTTTACTTTTCAATAAACTACATTATACTGAAGTAAAAATAAATAAATAAATACAAATATTTAAAAAGCAACTTCCCTCTTGACTATATATAATGATATTTGAAAATAATATTTTTATTTTTATTGGTAAAAATGTTTTTGACCTATCTCGATTATTAATTCGTAGATATAGCGTAGATTTTTTTCACATTGTTTTAGAGGTATGAGTTACATTTTTATTTGTGTTTTTTTTTTTTTAAACATGATTGAGACTTCAACAGAGTTACTTGTGATTGGATCTCATTACATTTTTCTCATCTGTATTTCAATTATTACAATTTTAAGCAACAGAGTTAGTATTTGCTTTAATTTATCTCTTGTCTGTCTTTTTCTTTATCTGTAAATTAAATTCTACAAATTTTGAAGATTTAACACATTTGGTAAAATAATCACATCATCATTTTTACCGCAATAAAAGAATGAATATTTAGATTCAATTTTTCAAAGTTAGGAGAATTTATATTTTAAACTAATGGATTTAAAAATAACAAGTGTTATATTAAAAACTAGTACTTATTAGAATATACAAAGAAAATAACTTACTAATTTATTTTATGAGTTACTTCATTCGGACCTATTTTTCATAGATAATACATAACATGTTATATATGTTTTGATTCTGACCAACTAGTTGTTTGTAAAATAATTAATTAATACATATATATATATATATATATATATATATATATATATATACATATTAATCATTAATATTATATTTCAAGTGGATTGATTATTTTGTAGAAAAAAATGTTGTTATTTTTGTTTTTTTTAAATTGATTTATTTGATAATCTAATTTTTAAAAAGAATAGTTTTTTTTTATATACTTAAAAAATGTAATATTTAATTATGTCTTTTTATTTGAATAAAAAAAGTTAATATAATTTTAATATTTTTTATATCTAAATATAATAGTAATAAATTTTTATTAAATTTTGATTAAACTCTTTTTTGTTTAGTTCTAAAAATTTATTTATTAAATTTTAAAATAAAAAGATAAAAACCAATTTTCACCGTATTCACTTAGAATTACAACAAAATCGTATCATATTATAATAATAATAATATATATTTATAATCAACTTTTATATATAAATTGTTTATTATTTTCTGCAATGTATAATATTAAATGTAAAAAATATAATATTTAATTTATATATATATATATATATATTTAATATTAGATTTAACTAATACTATTTCACACGATTTTAATTATAATTAAATGATATGAATCACGATTTTAATTAAAAAGTATTAAAATTACAGTATTTGAACTGTGACCCATCTGGCGTAGGAAAAACTACTTTTTCAGTGTTTTTGCCTTTTCGAAAAATTATAAAGGATTGTGCATGCACTCGCATAACTGCAGGGTCACTCGTAGCCGCTGTTCAACTTATGAATGGAAACCCTAGATTCAGCACCATCAACTCCAGCAAGAAACACTGATTCTAAGCCTCGAACACCATCTCCATTTCCTTCAACAGTGCTCAGACTGTGGAGGCCTCACGCGCAAAGAAATTTGAGGAACCAGTGGTCACAATTTGCATTGTGCAAAAATCGATGGTCCTCTGCTTCTTCTGCAGGAAGATCTCATGCAACTGACCTCGTTAATTCTCATCTTTCCCAAAGGTGGCATCAATACGTTGAGTTTCATCCTGCTTTTTATTTTATGGCCGGTTTCGCATTCAAAACTAAAAACATAGAAACAGTGTGAACTTAATTGAATTTGGATGTTTTCTGGCGATTGAATTTTTCGAAGGTTTTATCCGTTCGAGTATTTCCTGCTTTGGCGAGTTATTTTTTTAAATAATGATAAGTTGTTTCTTTGTGTTTGTCATGAAGGTGCCCGCGGTTATGGTGTGGTGATTGTTGTTTTGTAATTGATGTAGGTACATGCCTGATATGAATTTAGGTGTTCTGAGCGATATGCCTGATATAAGAAAGAGAGCTTGTTTGAAACTCTTTAAGCGGCAGGTATTGTTGGTTTTTGTTTTATTGTCCTTGTTCTTCAAATTTTGTTGAAAGTGAAATTTATTTTTAACTAAGATTTGTGGAAAGAGAGCTGTTGGGCTAGCTATGCTGGATATCATACTATAACATCAGTCTGCATTTGATAATTCACTTTATCAGGGGAAAGGAAAATCACTGCATGACCTTGGTTTGGCCAGAGAGGTCATAGGTTTAGTTTCTGATGTACTAAAAAGATAGAGAAGCATTTTCTATCGGAATTCAATGTAAGTTGAATTTGTGTATGCTATTATACTTGGATATTTCTCTACCACCCCGTCATGGCTGTGTGCCCATAACATAATGAATGCCAGGAGTTTGGTTGTATTATGTCTGTTGCATCTGATGAAACTGCCAATTGAAGGCTTGATGGTTATTGCTGGTAGGAGATGAACTCCTTCCAATAAATTATCATTAGTAGCAAAAATGCTATTTTTTTTTTATGATTTTAGTAATTATTTAGTCAATTTTTTACAAGGAATACTTCCCACTTTGTTCAAGGCCAGTTTTTTATTTTATTTATATTATATAGAATCTCTCTTCGTTGGGACTAATTAAATATGTTGGTGTTTATTGCTGAAAGTTTATCTCCATGACTTCTCTGTAACTTCCCTTTACATATTTAGTACACATGACTACCAAGATTAAGTTTACACGGGAGCGTCATATGATTTTATATAAGCCATATTTATTCTGATTTAATATTAACTTTTACATTATATGTATGCAACTTGGCTGTGGGTTCGTATTTTGATCAAATTCTTTCACTTGTCCACATTAATGTAGACTATACTTGGATCCAGTAATTCTCTTTTGGTATGAATATATAATTATATTTTGAGAAAGCATACCACTAGACTGTTTTAGATAAGTTTCCCATCAGAAGGAGTCCTGTTATTATAGGTTGAGAAGGTGAATCTGTATTTGCTTTTATATTGCTATTCTTTTGTGTGTGTGTTTGCGAATGGTGAAGATAATTGTGGGGTTAATGGTAGAGAAACCTAAGCACCGATATTTATGTTTATGCTCTTGTTTGATGTGCTTACAGATGTCTTAAGATATTGAAATCTTTGATGTTTCATGAATTAAAATTATGCAGAAGTTTGCAATGGCATAAGATACTTTAGGATCCACTTGAGAAAACTATTTAGGGTTCAATACATCACTGATACAGCAAAGAGGATATGGGCCTCAGCCCAAACCCTTAAACTAGCCTAAGGAACATACAAAGAGAATAAGTAATAATAGACAAAACAAACATGTCTCAACAGATCCCTTGGTTCTAAATGTCTGCTAGTGTTTGGATAGTTGGAAGGATGTTTTTTTATTCATTATGTGATTATACTACCTGCATTCAAGCATGTATGTCCGTTATATCTACTTTTTACGTCTCTTTTTCAAATCCCAGTTTGGGATTGGGGTTGTTTAAGATAACTAAGAATCTATGGGTGTTGTTAGAAGCCTGGTGGGGAAGAGGAGACCATCTTGGTTGTGGGGGGTTTGCTGGAGGTCCAAGAAGGAGGCAAGTGGGATATTGGAAATCTGGTGTCCTATAATATTGCTTTGGTTGGTGTGCTTAATCATCCGGAACTAAACCTATGACATCTCTAGCCAAACCCAAGGGCATGCAGTGCTTTGTTTTACATGATAAAGTGGACTGTGAATTGTTATCTATTGTCTTGGAGTGATATCCATATTTTAGAAATAATAATAAGAGTATTAGAATGGGATGTTATCAACCTAATGATTATTAGTACTCATCCAATTCAATTTCTTGAAAGTTATGCCTTAGGTATATAGTCCGTTTAGACACCGGTTTATTTGAGTCTAGTTGAAGGTTCCTATAGTAGGTTATTGAGCATACAAGTGCTCTCGTACTTCTCTAGAATGTTTATCTATCCATAATTTCTATCTCTATGAGGGGTTTGATTTTTCTCAAACTAACAAAAACAGAGTGATGACTTAGAGTCCTTTCTGGTTTCACAGAAAAACCATAAGAATAATAAAAAAATCGAAGTTATTTTCGTATCCCTGTTCAGTTAGGATACCTTATTATCTTGTTAGTCTTATTATTGTCCTCCCATTAAAACATCTTTTATTAAAAAAGAGTTATGTATATGGCATCATTTTAATATCTATTGATGTGGTTATTGTACTTGATCCAGGAATTACAAAGGAGCAAATTATTGCTGTGTTATAAGGACATGGTATGTCACATTCATATTGTTTTATTTCAATCATGAGTCATTGATATATTAATACTAGCAAAGAAATGTAATGGAATGGAATACATCATTGCATGTATTTAATTACATAAGCTGCTTGCTCGTCTGAAAATTCATTTTTGGGACCATGTAATATTTTAGTCAATGATTTCCAAATTGTTGTTCACTGAAGAGGACCCACACAACACCTGCTCACACACACACAATGGCATACAAAATTCTTGTTCCTCTTTGATATCTTTATGTTAAATAAATATAGTTGTCACATACTTATAGTTAAAAGAAGCATTTCTTTACTTAACGATTCTGATTGTATTTTTTTAATTTTTTATGTAAATTCAGGTGGGCATTGTACATGACATGATCAATGTTAGAAGATCAATGAAGTGTTTCTTCAAAGGATCAAACAATAGTTCACTGTTACAGTTTTCTTGTAACCCTGCAGACCAGAGTGATTTTGGAGATGGTGGAGATGGTGGTGGAATTCCAGTATTTAAATTTTATTCAATCACATCACATGGTATGACAGTATTTTCTGATTAAGCATTGACAGCTTATACAGTTACCCAGTTCTTAAGACAGTCTCCCAGTTATTTTCCCCATTTCCTGTATTTTTTATGCACATGTTTTCACTAAATGAATTAACTCTTCAGATCTTGCTATGAACAGGTATTTATCGCAAAACCTTTTAATCTTTTGGAGGTACTATTGATTTCATTTTCATCATTATATAGTTACTTACGACAGATTAAGTTTATGGAAAAGTTGCAACAGTGAGTCTGTATTTCATAATTTTTCCCTTTAAGTTGGATAAAGACTGTAATGTAATCCAGTAAAGGGAAGGGAAATTTACAGAATGCATACTTGTTTCTTTCTGATTGAGTTGTCAGGTGTTAGTACTGTCTATGCATTGTTAGTCAATCATTTAAGTTTAGCCTAAATTTTTGAAGAATTTTTAAATTGTTTCAAGAGGAGTTATGCTAAATCTGGAAATAATTCAATGATAACAATTCTTCTTCCACCTAGAAATCAACGCATATCTTTAACTTTCTCTATATATCACTAAAAATGTGGGAAACAATAGTGTGATGCGTTTACTTGACAAATTATTTATGTTAATTATGCTAATATTCCAAGTTTCAAAATCACAGAGAAATTTGCTGAGGAGCTGGTTCAGATGTTTAGCCTGGAACTGTGTTTGAAGGTGAATTGCAATTTCTGCAAAAATATTTTTGTTTTATATTTGATTCCTAACTTTGGTCTTACTGGGGAACTTACTTCAAATGGGCAGAGATTACTTGTTCTTGAATTTATGTCCATTGGTTATGACAACTCAGAAGTAAAACAGTTGCATTGGTCAACTCAGCTTTTTGAAGATGAATTCAAATATTTGAGAGACTGCAATCTGTACTGTGAAGTGACTCATGGACCAGTTCCACCAAGATTCAGGGATGGGAAATCTGACATCGGCGCTTTAAGATTTGACAACCAACCCAATCCTGAGGTTTTACAGGTGTTGTATTTAATACCACGTATGCTTTTGAATTCGTTGTAAAATATATCTACGTTTGAGGTTTAAATATATAAAATTGATATATTATCATCATTTTGAAACTGCACTACGATCTTGAAATGTAAGCTAGACTATGATACATCAGCCGTAGTTTAGACTTAGTTTAATTATTAGGTCACCATTTTAAGTTGGGAGAATAAGCATCTCTGAATTTATTTCAGTGTTTTTGGTGGAGGGGCTGGTAAGCTAACATTATAAGAGGCCGGTGTGATTTTAGACACTTCCAAGGGTTTATTCGCAGATTCTTATATTGAAGTTCCCCTCTTTCTGATTAATGAAATAATATAAGGTCAGTGATTACTGTTTAGTATAGAAGAATGGGAAATAAATTTGTGCAGTTACCAAAATTCAAAAAAAGAAAGAAATCTAAAACAAGTTTGAAAGTGGATTGCGTTAGAATACTGTGTATTGATATTTTCTCTCTACATTTTAAGCCTTCGAACAAAATACATGGGTCAGATGGAACAATACATGATTTTTCTATTATATATGTAATATACAGTTTCCTTGTTATGATGATATTATCTGAATATATTCTTCATAACAGGTTTATTTAACAACATGGCTTGCAGAGGCAAACATAGACACTCTCAAGTAAGATTGTAACGAAGTTAATACGTAAGTTCATGTAAATGTTTATCAGTGTCTAAAATGCATCTAATCTCATCCAACCCTTTCCTTTTCCTCTTTAATCAGAGTGAATGAAATATTTGCAGTGGTTGGGGAAGAAATGCATGTTAGCATTATTTAAAGCTGCAGTTATCAGGAAGTCTTTTACCATTGAATGACATGGTGTTGAAGACAAAATGAATGAATATAAGAGTGTTATGAGTCGTTTTTTGCTACCCTTTGCAGTTGAAGAGGATAACTGTCATGTAGATGACTAGTTTTAGTCTCACGATAATAACAAATTGTGGACAGATCATAGAGGACAGACGGTACCCTCGTGTATGCGGACGGAATATGTTCAAGGGCAAACATGGCAGAATTGGTGTCTGCATGGATAGTATGCTCAATATATTGCAAATGCGGGAGGTACAGTGAACTATTTTTAATTGGTGTATGCACATTATTTTACAAATGTACACCCTGGTTTGACTAACTTGAACAAATGTAGCTGACTACGATAATCGTGTAATAGTTGTAAAGAACCTACAGATATATGGGTTTTGCAATGTTGGCCAAAAATTAATTTCGATCACGTTATGTCAATGTTTAAAAAAAATTGAACTTGAAAAAAAAAAAGAGATTTAAATTGATTACAGACAGCCGGGTATTTATGGTTGTTGCTTTCAGAAGATCTTCATAGTAATTCGATTGATAACCTCATAGAATGTTTCGTACAAAAAGGGTATAAATGTGTGGTCAAAGTACAACAGGTTGGATATTATATTTCTTTGTCAATGCCTTTTTATCATGTCAAGGTTGGTGTTCCTGCTTTCTCTTTTGGCACACTTTTGTTGAAAACGTACAAGTTCATTTATGTGGTAAAAGGACGAATATTGTCGTTGTCAAGGTTGTTGCGATAATAAATGGGACCAGTTGTATGTGCGGGCGAGGTCGATGTCTTCATAAACAGTATCCGAAACGACTAGTTCAATTTATCAATTTAACGTAATGGGAAATGTTATTTAAGCTTTCACTGTCGAAAGATAATGGAATCCTTAACGAACATACGATACTCCAAACGACTTTAACAACATGATCCATGTCCGAAATATAATTAGATCTTAAGCATGACTATGACTGCGAAAAAGAAAAGACTGAAACGCATGCATTCCCTGCATTCAGATGGATGGTATAAAAACAACATATAGGTCGCATTCTCGGTTTGCTTTCAAAGAAAACCTGAGTGCCACACAAAGGGCCTTGGGCGTTTCTTCCTGCACCCCATAAAATTCTAAACAACACAGGAATATGATTTTGATGTTCTCAAAAATAAGATTGAGTGATTATTTAATGTAATTAGTCCACTAAAATACAAACTCAAGAAAATACCTTGAAATCGATGAATCAAACAATCAACCCATCTGATTGATGAGAACAGAAATTATTCAGCAAATACTAACAACTTACGGTATTTTTTTGTGTAAAGTAGGTATCCTCCACATTATTCGCTAAAATGCTAATGTTAGTAGATTGCACATATTATATTAGTAATACAAATAAGGGAAAATGATTTAGAATTGGGAATATGGCAATAATTAAATAAGAAGTTAAGATCTTATGTTCTATAAAGAAAACAAATAAACATTGAACAGCTTATGCTTAACTAGTCAGCTAAAACCGAGCCAAATGGTATGGTTAAAACTAAGTAAACTGCATATCTTATCTTAATATATACAAAAGGATTGGAACCTGAAAACCAAGGTAAAAGATAACTAGATTGCGAAGATCTAGACATACATACATACATATATAGATTGAAAAGATCTAAAGCCTCCATGGGTTGAGGAGGCAATCTAGTAACCATTCTTCTCCTACATTGCCAGTTGTATGGTTCTATGGCGATGAAGAGCAATAATATAAGTTGAAAAAGAAAAAGACCATAAACAGGATGTTGTGCAGACAACTGACCAAGAAAGATGGAAAAATGAATTAATTAATTATCAAAGTGAAAGACATTGTACCCTGTCTGGGAGATTTCTAGGCATTGGAACTGCGGTAACATATTTTTGGGGGCATGATTTTTGAGCATTTGCAGTTGCATCAGATGATGAGGTTTCTGCCCCATCATTTTGCCCCCGACCATGGAACTTGGCAAATCGGTTGATCACAGAAAATCTTTCTAAATCCTGACATTCCACTCTCAAGTCCAAAATTGAAGCTCTGCTATCCAATCTGGCAGTCATCAGACAAAAATGGTAAAAAAATAAGTAAAAGGATATAAAAACAAAAACAACAGACCGAAAAAAATAATAACCAAAAGCATTAGAAAGCAACCAAAATGAAGTGAAGAATACAGAGGTCAATGTTTCACCTCCAGTATGAGCTATGGAATATTCCAGATATCATAATTTCAATGTAAAGGCAAACCAAAAAAAGCTGGTGCATACTGCTATTTCAAATACTTTGTAAATTTAGAGTCCATCGGAAGAAGCATGTTAACACCCTCTTTTCCTCATAACAAACCAGTATGAATTTACTGGATGTTATAAACTTTGCTTTTCCTAGGCTTTTTAATCATGCAGTTTGCATGCAATACATGTTTGAAAGATCAGAAGCTGAAAACTTCAACCATCATAAACACACTTCTTGATTCTTTCTACACTAAAACTAGTGAAATAGGATATCCAACCAAAATTTTCCAGAAAATAACACTTATCTCTATTAAATCTGTATTATCTCTCACATGCAACTGAACCCATTCTTCGATAAAAAAGAAAGTAAACTGAGTCAGAAAATATTTCATATTTCAACTTGTCAAATCAAGTGTTCTATGGAATTTATTACTACAGATGACCCTGTGTATGAATTCTGTTACGCATACAGACAAGCCATGAGAAAAATAAATCAGATAGTACCTCAGTATATCATTTTCCAGTTTTCTCACTCTAGCATTAAAGTCTTCCACTTTCAAATTGTACTGATCAAATTTCTCAGAGACTTTGAGCTTGTCGGGTAGGCTACAAAATACACCAATAAAAAAATTAGTTGTTGTGAGATATAAACAAATTCAAAACATGGAATCATTCATTTATGGTCAATATGAAGGGCTTTTACAGAGCTTAGTTCAGCTTATCATATGGTTTCTGGATGTGATTGGTCAAGCTTATGAAAGTAACTAATGACTCTTCTACAAGTTCTTATTGGCTTATTTGAATATGTTTTCTAGTGAAGCCTGTAGATTAAACTTGTTGAATAAATGCTCAACTAAGTTGTTTACTCATTGATAAAATTTCTCATTCAAAAAGGAGAAAAGTAATTCTTACAGGCTTTTGCTGCCAGGAGATATGAGTGTGTCATTTTCTGATCGAGAGATGGAACTGCATGCATCTCCTAACACTAACCTAGCAACAGAATAGACCACACTTTCATGATGTAACTTGATGTCAGCAGAGAGAACTACAGCAGGAGGGGGATTAAGTAGTTGCTGCATAAGCTGTGTCGTTAACACAAGTCTTCTTTTTGACTTCATTGGCAACTCGTCAACTAGCTCAGCTTCATCCTCAATCTAAAGTCATATATGGAGCAACGTGAACTTCTTGCAGCAAATGAATTAAGATATTTTACTTTAGGCTTATTTAATTATGAACAAACCTTCTCAACCAATCTATTTGCCGCTTGAGCCCAGTCTAATTCTGCCGCACTGCCAAGTAATAAGGAACCCCAATCAGAAGCTAGAAGGTGAAAGAAAAACTGATGAATATAAAACAAGATTGAACCTCAATCCCAGAAATTATAAGGTAAGAAAAAAAACTGATGAATATAAAACAAGATTTTATATAGCAAAACCACGAGGAATAAAATACTTCTAAGAGATTGAAAACAGATCTAGAGGCTGGTGAAAGAGTAACGATCTTTTCCAAGATCTAGTCATCAAAAATAGCAATAGAAAATTCAAAGTGCATTAAATAGATCATTTTGTGCTGAGAACCTATAATCAAAATCATAAAAGAACTTGGGACTGAAAAACTGTTTTGTGTGAAATGACCTAAGGCGAGAGTATGTGCCATAAAAATCACACAATTTAGTCAAGCACCTGATATCTTGAAGCATTTCAGAACCCTGACTCAGCTCTTTATGCCATGGTATGAGTTCAGATAACGAACTTTTACGCTTCTTTGGTCGCATACTAGATGACAGATCAGGTTCAACTGCAGGAGGAAGTAATAACTCAGAAGGCAGATGCTCACTTGAAACTGAAGTAAGCATTGGATTTTGCCCAGCATCATTGAGATTATTAACTTGCTCCATTGAATTAGCAAGATGCAAACTACCAGATTGGTTCCTCATAATTAAAGGCTGTTCCATAACCTTTTGAGGAGTCATCGTTCGTACATCGTACATTTGCAACATCTTGCCATTTTTAAAAGTTCCATACTGTTCAAACCACGATGGAGCCATCTGAGGATTGATCACAGAATGCTCGCTTCGAACAGAAGTTACTTTGTTATTATTAGCTACACTAAGAGCATTTCTCTGACCATATCCAACCACCTCCTGAGAAGATGCATTAGTATCTCGAGCATCACCTGCCTTCGTTGAAAATTTTAGCATGTTTGGATCTGATGGTGGTATTGAAGAACTATTATCGGACACATCTTTGACTATGTTATTATATTCATATGACTGTTGTCCACTGCTGGAAATGGAATCTACCTGTTGTTTTTCCATCACATTATCTGAAACCTTGAATCTCTTGACATCTCGATTACTAGGATCAATCTCCATATTTTTCATGGACTGAACTTGATTTAGCATAGACAAATTCTGATGCAAGAAATTATTTGGTCTTAAAGATCGGCCAAAATCTTCAATATCTTTAGAGGTAGCAGCTGGGCTTGATTGAAGTGCATCAGGTGTATATTTCACATGTTCCTTCATGTGTGAAGTACTTGGAGTCTCTTCAACAGCATCAACACTCTCAGGCAATATCTGCTGCCCAGAGAAATTACCATCTCTCTCTGAATCTTCAATACCTGGCTTCTGTAGTCCTGTTGTCATTTCACAAATATTATTGGGCTGGGGATGGGATGGAATCTTCAAAGCAATAGGATGTTGCTTGTTAGAAACACTTGTCCATACATT